ATTTTAGAGGGAGAAATGTTGATTAGTTGTTCCACTTATTTATGCATTCATTGGTTGATTCTTGTATGTGCCCTGACCAGGGATCAAACCTGCAACCTTTTCATATTAGGACAACGCTCTGACCCACAGAGTTACCTGGCCGGGCTCATTCCTTCTGGTCCTGAGGACAACTCAGAGGTCAGCTCTGGAATCCAGATCGATTTCAAGGAGAGGTAGCCAGGAGGGTCACCCTGCCTTACTGGCACTGAGAGTTGAAATTTAGATTAAGATGTTATCTATTTTTAGACTGCCCAGGGCTTAAATCTTATGACCATTAGTCAGAACCCAGCTATTGTTTTCTGCTGTCTCAGGGGTCAACAATCACCAAGGTGAAAGACTAGGGTCAGGGCAGTAAAGTGTGCTGAGAGAGAGGTGGGAAACAATTCTTGTTTTAAAATCATAGTAGAAATCAAATCAGAATTACGAGGACCCTCAGTTTCGCAATCAGTGGCCAAGAAACTTTGATTTTTTTTCCTATGAGGCATACCCCTATGCATTCCTTCCTCTTGCTCTTACTGTGCACCACCCCACCCCACACACCAACTTCTTTTTTCTTTCTTTTTTTTGCATTTATCTTCAGATACAGCAGGAAGTGGGGGGGGAGGGAGAGAGAAACATCGATGTGAGAGAGACACATGGACTGGTTTCCACCCACATGACCCCAACAGGGGCCAGGGACAAAGTGCAATCGAGGTACATGCCCGTAGTGGGAACCGAACCTGGGTCTCTCTGGTCCGCAGGCTGATACTCTAACCGCTGAGCCAAAACGGCCAGGGCCATACACCAACTTCTTCACACTCCCCACCCCTAGCCCAGGTTTTATGCCTAGTGACGTTGATAGCCCAGCTGTGGGACTCCATCTGTGGGTTATAAAATCAATCTATTGTGTAGCTAACAGCATTTATAAAACATGAATCAAATCAAATGAATGCAATAGAGAATATTAGAGAGTATCACACATAATAAGGATATTATTATTTTGGTTAGATATAAAAATATTTATATCTTGGCCATGATGCAAAATATATTTCTTTCTGTGGGTAGAGGTTAAAAAAAAGTTGAAGACCAAGGCCCTGTGGAGATCTCTCATCCTCCCCACCGCCTTCCCACCCAGCATCCATTCCATGCGACTGCATCTCGGCTTTCTAAACCAGCGGTTCTCGACCTGTGGGTCGCGACCCCTTTGGGGGTCGAACAACCCTTTCACAGGGGTCGCCTAAGACATAACAGTAGCAAAATTACAGTTACGAAGTAGCAACGAAAATAATTTTATGGTTGGAGATCACCACAACATGAAGAACTGTATTAAAGGGTCACAGCATTAGGAAGGTTGAGAACCACTGTTCTAAACCTCTGCTCTGCCAGTCTAGCTCCTTCATCAAAAACCTTTAGTGTGGCTTCATTATCCGAAGTTAGATATGTCCGCCTGAATTGTGAGGCTCTCCTCAACCCGGCCTCATGGGGCTTCTGAGCCTGATTCCCTCCTCTTTGTTCTCTGCTAAGAACCAGCACTCCTGCAGGGCTGGGCGCCTCTCTGTTCCCCAAGCATGACTGCCACTCTCCTGCCTGTGCACGTCCTGTGTCGGCTGCCCGGACGCCCTCTGACTCCCACTGAAATCACATCTATCCTTCAGGTTGTGGGGCTACAAAAACTACTTTACCTCCCACTAAATTCTTCTACCCGAGAAAATAATCAAATTAATAAAGACAGATTTACAGGAGAAAATCAAATTTTAATACATGCACATGGGAAATTCACACAGGCATGACAATTCCAAAGACAGCGAGACAACACTGGGTCTGTGTGACATTTTGGACAAAGAAGTAAACGGGATGGGGCGCAGCGGGCGGACATAGCCTGAACGTTCCCCGTGAGAATGGGCATGTGCAGGTAGTTGAGGAAGAGCAGAACGCACAGGCAGGCACATTCTTCCTAGGTGACTCAGAACCAGTGAGACACAGGGGGTTTCTGGTAACGGGCCCCTGACTAAAGCCTTCCTATTTGTCATACTTAATTCAAGTAGGCTAAGGAGAAATCCTAAGATTTCCTTCCTGAAGTGAGTTCTTCTTTTGGAATCTCTTGGGCAGAAAAGGTGGTGGGGGGGAAGGTTCTTTCTGAGTCCTTAAAATCAATATCCCAAAGGGTAGCCTCAGGGTGGCAAAACTTTGGTCCCCTTCAGGGACCTGTCACTGAGTCCCTCTCACAGAAAGTACCCACTCTTCTTGCCCAATTTTGTGGGCTCCCTTCAACATGCGTTACTTTCCCAGCTAGGCTGTAAATTCCACTGAGAGTTAGAACCACTATTTGTAGAACTACTACTTGGTGAGCTTGTTCATCTGATTTAGCTTCTCGGTGCTTTATTTTAAAGGTACAGTGATTATTTTTGCCTTTAAATTGATCATCAGGACAGTTATAATTGACTGGGGCAGGGGGTAAAGAGAGAGGAGAAGAAAGTTTAATGATACAAAATTGGATAAAATTATGCTTATTTTAAGATATAGTTATGGAAAAGTTATAGGAATTATTATAGTACAATAAATGCCATAGCTTCTATAAAATAAAAAGTAGAAGATCTATATCATAGGGTCACAATGAGTGAGCACATGTGAAGTATTTAGGATGGTGCCTGGCATAGAGTAGGTGCTCAATAAATATTAACTGTTGTTGTCATTATCCTATCTGCACAGTATCTAGAACATCCCTTGTTCGTAATAGACCCGTAATAGATGTTCATAAGTGAATAAATGAGCCCATATTAAAACGATTCCTCTAAAAGTTTTTATTTCTGTTGTGACTGCTCCCTGCTTCCTTCAATTCATCTGCTTCTGGGAACTGCATCCTTTACTTGGGCAATTTAAAGATTTAGGGGGAGGGTTCACAATTATCATGCAATCAGAGTGTCAGCAGCCACGTTGCAGGACCCAAGTACTGTCCCTAGAAGTGCCCGCAGAGCCCCTCAAAGCCTGTCAAGAATTCTGAGGGAGGAGAGTGCGCCCTCCCCAGGCACTGTACCCCTCCTTCCTCACACCCTGACTGCCCTGCTCTGCCCAGCTTGACCCTCTCAGACTCTCCCTCCCTCCCCTTTCCTTCTCCCACTTGACCTCTTCCCTACCTCAAATCTCTTCCTTTTTTATTCTTTTCCCCTCCCTATCTAAAAACAAAATTTTAAAAAGAAATAAAAGGGGAAGGTTGTGATTCCTGAGGACACACCCCAGTCTAGCTCCCGTGCAGTGTGTGTGTGTGTGGGGGGGGTCAGTACAGATGAGTGTGCTGGGCTCCCCAGCCAGGTCCTGCAGGGTGGATTTAACAAGTTTCAGGTATTCATACACCAGCCTACTCCATGAAAGATCTTTTTCAAAGTTTTGTGTAAACAACGTAAAATTCAAGCTGGCAGCTACAACAGCATTTTTCAACGTTTGAAAGGAAAGGAACAGTTCATGCCAAAGTAGTTAAGGCAACCTGGAATCTAAGCATCTGATAATGTCAGCTATCTACTTGGAGTTAAACCAGCAGAGGGGCGTCTCCTTCGCTTTTATCTCCTTCTCTTCAGTGTTTCTCACAGGAGTGACATGTCATTTGAGCACCTTGCCTCCAAAAGCATAGACTGGCCGCGGGCTTAGCCAGCGGTGTTACAGTTGCTCTTAATAATTCTCCTGTTTTGTTGTGCTATTTATGCTGGCTCAACCTCCATAGGGTCCCTTGGAAACGTTCCTCCTGCAGAATCAAGCCAACCTCTTTGACTACAGATGGTTCTGTTTTTATCCATTGGAGCTTTATGGTATGGCGATGCCAAGTCTGGAATTTCAGGCTTAGCTACATGAGAAGCTTTGTGTGAGTGCATGTGTGTGTGCTTCCCCCCTCTCTCGAGTTCTCTAAACCCAGCATTCGAAATAAAATATGCCAGGAAAATGAAAAGCTAGGTCTCAAAATAATAAATATGCTCGACCTGGAGCTACAAAAGCAGCACACCACAAAACCACAGTGGTCAAAGCTCTGACTTTCTCCCCCTTAAATTTGTTGATACTATATATACATTCATGTTTATTTCTCTGTCAAAACCTAAATGGTACTATTTTTAGGCCTACCCTCATTCTATATCTTATTTCAGGCTCATCTCTCCCTGGTTTTCTCTCTCAAGCTCTAAACATTTCTTGACCAGGAACAAATGATTTATGGGTTGGGAATAAGTGATTTCCAGGCTCAGTGACCACAAAGGTCTCCTTTATCAGACCCGGTGCTGAATCAAAGATGAGCCCAGAATTTTTTTTTTTTTCTTCATTATCTATTGCTCAATTCTGGTGACACCATTCCTTCTTTTGTTTAACTATTTTTATTCTCCACTTTGGGCCTTTTTCCTTCCATGGAGGCTATAAAGAACTCTCTTTTGAAAAGCTGGACACCACTGCACCCAGAACAATACATGCCCCATCATGCATTCATTCTAATGATAATCTTTGTTACTTGAGAAACAGAGATCAGGTATTTGTATCCCACCAGCAGGCTTTTCAGAGAAAGCAAATAGTGAGAGATAGTGCTGCTGCTGAGAGGTTTCCAGGGTCTTGTGACACATTTCCATTCCGGTTCTTCCCTTGTGCAATTTCAGCGATTTGTAAGAAAGATGAACAATAGACAATTAATCAAAATAGAACATATGGCAAGGGTTATAAAGCCGAGCTTATATTGCAGTGACATCTTACTGTAGCAAAGGTTGTAATTGTGATGGCAAAGGCAACCCAGAAAATCAAAAAATGAGCTTGCATGAATCATGCCTTTATGACACTAATGGCTTCTTTTCCTCATTGTCATCACGGATGAAGAGGAGATCGGAGCCGTAAATCCACTGAGCCATTTGCTGTTCCTTCTAGTTCGTGATAAAGTTGTCAAATTGTGAGACAGATTGAACTCCTTCCAGAGGTACAGTCTATCATCATGGATGTTATTTTTCCATCTTCCTTTCACAGGCCATCACTGCTGGTGTGTCCCTCCTGTTGGCTCACAAAGAGAGGACCCAGAGATACTTGGTAAACATGTAGGCATTGTCGACATGAGAAATGTCCAGATCTATAAAGAAATGTTGCAAGATCTTATTTGAGCCAAAACTGATGTCAATTGCCAAGAAGCAAGATCTAAACTTCAGAGAGGGACAGTTTTGCAGGTTCTTTTAGGCATTTGAAATGAAGGAGGGGACATTAGGAAGAGGTGAGAGAAAGCAAGGTGGGGATTGGATTACAGGATAGTTAAGATTACAGGCTCTCTTGAGGATGGTTAGGTCTTAAAAGGAGAGGTCTGAAAAGAGATAATTCAAAGGTGTGTTAACCTAGATACACAAGAACAATGGACAGGATTTGCTTAAGGCAAAGATAAATCTTTTACCAAAGAAGTGAAATGCCTGGGATGTGACTATCCACCACCCAGTTAGGAATTTATGATCAGATCACTCTGCGAGGTTACTTCCTGTCACCAGACTTGTCAGTTTTATTACAGAACCCGTTTTACTTCCAAAACATTGAGAAGGATGGTAGAGTGGGTTTGAAGATCAAATCTCTACTGGTTCAGGATAATACATAGAGAATGTGATTTCCAATTATAACTGAATTCTGTCTAATTGATGCTATGTTTTCAATTAAATTTTTTTTTTTTTTTTTTTTTTTTTTTGGTACATGACCCTAGTGGGAACCGAACCCGGGACTCTGTGGTCCACAGGCCAACGCTCCAACCACTGAGCCAAACTGGCTAGGGCTCAATTAAAATTTTGTATCTCTTTTCTGCTCCAAACATTTTCTGCCAATTGCTGGGGTTACTGTAAGTGTTGTCATTGGGGGAGAACAGAACCAGTGTTAGTGCTCCTGGGTTTCATCTTGAAGAAAGGAATCTATAGGCTCCTCTGCTTTTGATAATGCATTTGCAAGTCTCAACTCCTCAACTCGTATCTCCTTCCAATCACTCTGTATGCTTTCTCCTTAAAGAGAGAATAACAAGTCATCATATCTTGAATTTTACTAGTATAGAACCAAGTAATCCCAAAACATAGAAAGATTACGTTGATCTCATTAGAAATCTTTTTCCAAGGCAACAGCAGAGCTTTTCAAATTTTAATGTAGGTGTGAATCACGGGGTGGGGGGGGTGGGATCTGGGTAACAGGCAGATCCTGATTCAGTAAATCTTGGTGAGACCTGAGATTCTACATTTCTTTCTTTCCTTTTTATCCTCACTTGAGGACATTTCTGCATTTATCTGCAGATAGAGCAGGAGGGAGAGAAGGAGAGAGAGGAGAGAGAGAGAGAGAGAGAGAGAGAGAGAGAGAGAGAGAGAGAAACATCCACGTGACAGAGACACATCGACTGGCTGCCACCCGCACAACCTCAACCGGGGCCAGGGACAAACTGCAACTGAAGTACATGCCCTTATGGGAACCGAACCCGGGACTCTCTGGCCAGGGCTGAGATTCTACTTTTCTAACAATGTCCTAGGAGGTGGCAGTGGACCGTGGACCACACCCTGATTGGCAAGGTTCTGGGATAAGGCAGGGATTCTGTTTACTCATCTGTTTTTCCCACCCCAGACTGGTTCTCAACACATGACAGGATAATCCAATATTTGTTGAATGGGATTGATTTCATTTTTTACCCCAGTTGACTGACGTTATTCTTTCATAATGTAGATTGAAGAAGAGAATACAAAGGCCTAGAGGGAAGTTGTGACCCTTTTCTTTTTCATATCCCAGTAGGAGAGATTAAGACCTGGCATCTCTTTCTTCATATTGCTAAGAAGCTTGTGGAAAATCTAGTTCCCAAAGTAACAATCTGTTTCTGCTTTGTTTTCAGTGGGAAGCTAGTTTCACTTTTGTGATTCTGAGCCTTATGAGATGTCCACTTCATTGTGCAGTAGCCTTGGAATCAGCTCTCCTCGGCCCATGTTGCCTCTACTCATTTTCAGGGGTAGCAGGGACCAATTATCTTGGTTATGAGATTGCCTTTCCTTTTCCGTATGCAAAATTCCCATCCGTATGTGTGGACCCACCACACTATGAAGAGTACCACCTGACGCTTCAAACCTTTGACCTGTGCCTGAGTTTGCCATGACCTGTGCATCCCTGACCGTGTTCCTCAAGCTCTCTGCAAGACTTATCTGGAATGGACACATAAATGTAAGTTTCAAGAAAGGGGCAGCCGGTTCTTGTTCCATCCTAAATGCTAAGATGGAAACTCTTGCATATTAATATTTAATCTCTCTCTCTTATCCACCAATGTATCCTGTATAACCATGCTAGTCAGTGCCTGGCACATGATAGATACTCAATAATTGTTTATATAGGAATGAATGGAAATATGTTGATGTGATAATGAAAGGCATGGCTGTAAGTAGCACCAGCTAATTTTTATCTTAACACAATTTAAAACATTACTAATTGAGAAAAATACTAAGTGCTTTGTATGGAAATTGAAAGCAGCACCCTTAATATTTTTAATATTAGCCCAATACAGATATCTTAATTTAGCTTCTATCCCATTGTTGTGGTGTGAAAAAACCAAGAGATCACCAGAGCCAAATTAAAGCCAAATAGAGAGCAAAGCCGGCCGGTGACTGATCCCGAGTTCTCGGAGACCAGCCCTGGGGCCTCCAAATGTTGTGGCGCGACAGAGTCAATGAAAGACCACTAGAGAATTGAAGTCCAGATAAGAGCCGTTTATTAGCCGGCCGGCGTCTGATTCCGAACACCCCTCTGACAGAGTCTTCGGAATCAGCCCCGATATGCTTCATTACATGCCTTTTAGACCTTACAGAAAATACGATCTTCTTGATGTAATGCCCAGGGCCACAGCAATGCTGTATAGAATTAGTTTGCCTTACGGATAACAGGAACACATAGGCACACCCAGGTATTTCAGGTATTTCAAGGTACACTGGGTCACACTTAGCCCCGAGCTGCGCAAACACAATGCAAGCCTAATTCCTGGAGATTGTCGGGAAGGTCGAGTCTCTGACTCAAGACCTCCAGGCTCCGTGGACTCTGTCAGACACGTAGCCGGCTCCCAACAATTTCTTGGTTCAGGGAGTATTCCAATTGACTGAGGTTATTTTGAATAAACAGGTTCAGTTAGAGGGCACACAGTAACTTTCCCAATCATCAGTTATGGAGCAGCACAATAATTTACCAATCATCAATTATGGGTTATAAACATGCCAGCACACCATTCAGAAAGATACACATGCTTCTTGGCTAGAAAAGACATATATGAAATTCTCCCACTCTTTCTACTCCTACCCCAGCAGCTAGGGTGTAACATCAAATTTTGTTTTCTAACTTTTTCCAGGAGGGTTAATAATAATATTAATGATATGCTAACAATAGAAATATGAACTATATGTTTACTGTGTATCAGTGTACTTCCCATTTTACAGATAGTAAACTGAGGCTAAAGAGTTTTTATAACTTGCCCAAGGTTACATGAATGAGTCTAGATTCAGAACCCAGAACCCTTTCTCTTAATCAGGCCAGATTTATTCTGTGCCTCCTTGTCTCCCAACCTTTCCTCCTTGGCTAGACCCTTCGTATGCATGGCCCTGGCTCCCAGGAGGATTAGACAGGGTCAGTGGAAGAAGGGCACAAGTAGCTTCTGATTCTGAATTCCCTCAGGTATTGATACTGGGTCACTTGCTTTGTAGGTTGAGCAGCTTCCTTCTGGAAAGAGCTATTTCCCAGGGCAAACTCTCACACTGGTTTTATGACTTAAGTCAGTATTATATTAGGATCAGGTGAATTTAAGTAATGTTAGCCAAATTTTTTTTTCCCCAATTTGATCTTATCAACACCAACCATCAAAGCTGAAAAGATAAGATCGACATTCTCAATGTCTTTTGCGGTCAATTGTGTCCCCTTGAAGTTCCACGCGAGTCTGCAAATGAAATCCGATACATTCTTTGGAGCAGAGTTGATTTTACAAGGAGGTTCGCCAAAGGTTGAGATGAACAGACCAAAATTACCTCCCCTATTGTATTCCAGGGCATCTAGAAGTTTAGTATTTGAGATTTCTCCCATGTGGTAAATATCCCAAATTTTTAAAGCCCTTTGTTAAAAGGAAATTATGCCTAGGAGAAATACACATGTAAGTGTTGCCAGCCATAACCCCTCAGCATGGATAGTTAATCAGACACTTGACTGTCATGTTAAGCATCACACTCATAGCATCTAGGTTTAACACAGAAGGCAGGGAGAAAAAAAAATTAAAAATTTACAAAGAACTAAGTAAGCCAGCCCCATGGAGGCCCCTCAGTGAGGCCATCTAAAGTGCCTGGGAAAAAAGTTTTAATTGAAAACAGAGCAAAGTTCTCCAACTTCAGTTTTGCCTTGGTCCATCTTGCTCAGGAGACAATTCTTGGTGTGTGATTTCTAAGGGAGGTATAGGACCCAGCACAACTACCGGGTGGGGCAACAGTACATTTACAGTCGTTCGTATGGAAAATAATACAGTAATTAATTTTTTTTAAAAAATGCTACAAGAACAAACTGTTTCCATATTCACAACTTTGAACCAATTTTTGCCCCACCCTGTACAACATGTTTCTCCAAGTGGATCAATGGCATCAGAATCTTGTTAAACCAGATTTCTGGACCGAATCCAAGACCATTCCTACCAGGTCAGAATCTCTGGGGTTGGAGGCAGGGAATGTGCATTTTTAACGCATGACCCAATAGTCTCTGATAAAAATTTTCTTTCTAGCACAAGATTATCTTAGTGTCACCTCCAGCCAGAATCTGTTTTCCCGTCTGCTTGGAATGCAGCACTAGTTTGGGTGAGAGTTCCAGATAAATGTAATAAGCAGCATGTCTTTGGTGAGTGTTTTTGGATGACTTGACACGACTTTGTCCACAATGGTGGCAGATCATGTTTCATTAGGAAGGATGAGTAGCTGTCATAAGGGATATGAGGTTAGGTATTAATAACTAACACCGCCCCAGCCCACAAGGAGCACCTGCACCTGAGCGAACCTTCGTTACCATGTGGAAATCTCAGCTACATTAGGTACAGTTTTCAGCACAAGAGTAAATGTATCATTTATCAAAATTCTTGAAACATACAACTTTCTTAGAAGAAAAGGTGGGTCATTTGTTGGGATACAGAATTCTATGTAGTGATTCTACATCTGATGAACCAATGGTTACATTGTTAGATTCCTTACATGCTAAAAGTAATAAGTAGCATTTTAAAATTTTATTAAAATGTATAATAAATATTACAAAATATTTATATAATATTTATAATGCAAATATTATAAAATGATTTATACTTCTTTTATATATAAACAAAACATTGAAAATGCTTTCAAAAGCTGCACTTTTAACTGTCTACCTGAAAATTGAAATTCTCTTACATGAATATAGTACGTATCAGGAAACTCAAGAACTATGAAAATTTGTAAAAAATACGTAATGATTTGAAGAAAGATTGGGAAAAATTATAGTTGTACTTTATTTTATTGTAGAACAAAATCAGCTTTTTTAGATCCATATGTAATAGTCAATATTATAGAAAATATTCTTCTAAGAGTTTTTTTCTAAAAAATCAAAATAGGTTTTCAGAAATGAATCAAACATCCCTTAGGAATGACCACATTCATTATTTCTTTCTCCTCCCAATGCCTTTCAGTTTAGTAGAATCGAGGTCATCTTGTGTCCCAGTCAGCTCGAGCTGCTGTAACAAATACCATAGATGGGATGGCTTAACCAATACACATTTATTTCTCACAGTTCTGAATGCTGGAAGTCCAAGATCACGGGTGGTTTTGGTGAGGCCTCTCTTGCTGGATTATGGATGGCTGCCTTCTAACTGTGCTCACATGGCTTTCCTGCACCTGCCCCTGGAGAAAGGAAGAACTCTGTCTTCTTATAAGGGCATTAATTTCATTATGGTGGTTCCATCCTCATGACCTCATCTAAACTTTATTAGCTCTCAAATGCTATACCTCCAAATATTATCACAGTGGTGATTAGGACTTCAACATATAGATTGGAGGGGGGCACAAACATTTGATAACATCTTGCTGAAGGTCACCCAGTGATGGTGTGTGAGCATGTGTTAACTGGTACCCAACCAAAACCACAGTAAGACATATTTAAGTCACAAAGATTTGATGATAAACTGCATTTAAAGGCATTGTGTGAGTGCTACAGACTAAATGTCTTGTCACCCTCGACCCCAAATTCATGTTGAAGCTCTTATTCCCACTATGATGGTATTAGGAGGTGGGGCCTTTGGGAGGTAATTAGGATTAGGTGAGGCCATAAAGGTAGAGACCCCATGATGAGATTAGTGTCCTTATAAAAAGATGAAGAGACCAGAGATATCTCTCTGTTTGCCAAGTAAGGATATAGCAGGAAAGTACTCATCTTCCAACTCGGAAGGGGGCTCTCATCAGACCCAAATCTGCCAGCACCTTGATCTTGATCCAGCCTCTAAAATTGTGAGAAATAAATATTTGTTGTTTAAACCCCCTAGTTTACGGTAGTCTGTTATAGCAGCCTGAGCTGACTGAGACAGTGAGCCCTTCCAAATGTTAAGGTCCTCATGGGAAGGGGTGGAGCTGGGAAGGGAGCGGAGCTTCCCTGCATGTGAGGCTCCTTGCACACGGGCTGGAGTGACCCTGTCCGCTTAAGGACACCGTGTAGGAAGCAAATGAGCACAACACAGAATTAAAGTCGAGAAACTAAACCATAGCCAGAATTGTCTACATTCTTGATGCAGTAAGTAATCAAGTGATGGGAAAGAAAAGAATTGGGACGCCAGACCACTGCAGCTGTCCCCTGCAGCTACTCGGCCCCTCCTCCATGGAATGGAATGGCTCCGTTTGTTTTCCTTTCATTATTCATTGTTATGTTTGGGATTTGGGTTTTTGTGTTTTTTTTTTAATGAAAGGGGGAAAGAAAATATTTTCCCCTTTATCATGTGAGACAGTGGTTTTAATTTTTTCAATGAATTGAGAAACATTTGCTTCTCATAAAAAATGGAGGTAAACTATTTAAGTACAGTTTGAAAATGTGTGGGGACAGAATATATGTCAGTGGAGGACTATCTTCTTCCCAAAAGAAGACAAATTAGGAAGCAGCAATATACTGGCTTCAGATCTTCCAGTGGACCTACGTTGCAT